CGGGATGGAGAAGGGAGGACTATGGCGGGAGGTACGAGGAGGTAGGAGCAGAACTCTAACAGAGGTAGGAGGAGGTAGGAGGAGGTAGGAGGCTACTAGGAGCACAAGTCTAATGAAGAAGAAGAAAGAAGAAGAAGAAGACTATGGCGTCCAAGACGAACTGAATAGAGTAAGGAGAGGAGGAAGAGGAAGATGATGAAGAAGAAGGGAAACTTTAAGAAGAAACGATGAAGAATAAGAAGATATAGAAGAAGAAGAAACGACAAAGAAGAAAAAGAAGAAGACGAAGAAAGAAAAGAACACGACGAAATGGAGGAGAAGAAGAAGAGGAAGAAGAATGAGACGAAACGAAGAAGAAGAAAAGAAGAAGAAGAAGAAGAAGAAGAAGAAGAAGAAGAAGAAGAGAAGAACAAAAAGAAGAAGAAAAAAAAAAAACCTTACCTGAGTGGGCGATGGGGGCGCAAGCACTCTTCCTCGGAGGCGAGGAGGATGGCGCGGCTTGACAGCGACGATGATGGCGCGGCCTGAGGGTGGCAGGGTGACGACGACGACTCAGCAGGGCAAGGATGGGGTGACGACGACGACTCAGCAGGGCAAGGATGACGATGGCGACCACGGCAAGGCGACAACGGCGCAGTCAACTGCGGCAGGGAAACGACCTGGCGCGGGGGGGTAGGGCGGAGGGCACAGGGCTGCGCCCGGAGTCCCAAGATTCAAATTCAAAACCTTGGGACTTCCACGCCGTCGATCAACGCAGATCGACGACCCAGGTGCCAAAAAAAAAAAACAAACGAAATGGGGCCTACCGGACCCCCAAAAAAATTGCGGCCGCCGGCAGAATTTTTTTTTTCCTGTGGACCTTCAGCCCACGGCGTGAATTCTTTTTTTTGAAGCGATTTGGGGGGCGGCGCTGTGGGGGCCCGGGTGCCTGGCCGGGGGGGTCGCACGGCCGGGTGCCGCGAGCGCCCTTCCGGGCGACCTGGGGTGGCCCGGGCGCCCGGGCTGGAAAGCTAGCTAGGAAGCCTCTCACGTCCTGCCCGGCCGGGCACCCGGG